CTGGCTCCTCTCGACGTGGAGGAGCAGCGGCTCTACTCTGAGTCCCTCCTGGATGACCGAGCTTCTCAACCTATCCCTAAGGGAGAGCCCAGCCACCCTGCGGAGGAAACCCATTTCGGCCGCTTGTCTCCGGGACCTCGTTCTTTCGGTCATGACCCAAAGCTCATGACCATRGATGAGGGTAGGGACGTAAATCGACTGGTAAATCGAGAGCTTCGTTTTTTGACTCAGCTCTCTCTTCACCACGACGGACCGGTACAGCGCCCGCTTTACAGCAGATGCTGCGCCAATCTGCCTGTCAATCTCCCGCTCCCTTCTTCCCCCATTCATGAACAAGATCCCCAGATACTTAAACTCCTCCACATGAGGCAGGAGGACCCCCCTGACCCGGAGAAGCCACTCTATCCTTTTCCAGCTCAAGACCATGGCCTCGGATTTGGAGGCACTGAGCCTCATCCCGCTTCGCACTCGGCCGCGAACCGCTCCAGCGAGAGCTGCAGATCACATTCCGATGAAGCCAACAGGACCACATCATCCGCAAAAAGCAGAGAGGCAATCATAAGGCCACCAAAACAGATCCCCTCAATGCCTCGGCTGCGCCTAGAAATTCTGTCCATGAAAGTAATGAACAGAATCTGTGAAAAAGTGCAGCCTTGGCGGAGTCCAACTCTCACCGGAAACGAGCCCGACTTACTGCCGGCAATGCGGACCAGACTCTGACACCAGTCGTACAAGGACCTGACAGCCTGTATCAAAGGGCCCGGTACCCCATACTCCCGGAGAACCCCCCACAAGGCCCCCCTTGGGACACGGTCGAACACCTTCTCCAAGTCCACAAAACACATATAGTTGGACGAACTCCTATGCACCCTCCAGGACCCTGCTGAGGGTGTAGAGCTGGTCCAGTGTTCCACGCCCAGGACAAAAACCGCACTGCTCTTCCTGAATCCGAGGTTCGACTATCCGATGGACCCTCCTCTCCAGGACCCCTGAATASACCTTACCAGGGAGGCTTAAGACTGTGACTCCCCTGTAATTGGAGCACACCCTCTGGTCCCCCTTTTTAACCAGGGGGACCACCATCCCAGTCTGCCAATCCAKGGGKACTGCCCCSGATGTCCATGCGATATTGCAGAGTCGCGTAAGCCAACACAGCCCTACAACATCCAGAGCCTTAAGGAACTCCGGGAGGATCTCATCCACCCCCGGGGCCCTGCCACCGAGGAGCTTTTTAACCACCTC